GATTAAACATGACAATAGGTCTGATCTGATTTCATCATCATTTAAAAAAAAATCATCTATTATTTTTCACTTTATGTTTCTGTGTGGGAACAAACTGTTGAAATACTTACTTAAGGTATACTAAGCTGATCTTCTGTATATTAAGATAATCGAAAATGAATCTTGATGTGAATGGAAGGGGAGAGGGAGTGGGAAAGGGGAGGGTTGTGGGTGGGAGGGACGGTATGGGGGGGAAAGCCATTGTAACCCATGAGTCGTACTTTGGAAATTTATATTCATTAAATAAAAGATAAAAAAAAATAAAAAAATAAAAAAATAAAAAAAAAAGTTACTTGCTTGTTTGTGAATTTTAAAAGTCTGGTCAAGTATTGAGACACTATGCTTATGAGTTTGCAAAAGAAACATAGGAGATGGTATAAAGAGATTTGTTGTTTTAACTCTTTAAAATATGAAATTTAGGGAGTGTATTGGGGTGCAGCAGGTTAAGTCATCACTTCAGACATCCACATCTATCGCTCCCCCTCTTCGTGGAGGAACGACACTAAACCCTGCGCTGTTCTTTTGTCTGCTCGGCCCTTCCCGGGTTTGCTGCTGGTCCTTCCCGGGTTGGCTGCCGACCCTTCCACCTCCGTGGAAGGGCAGTTCCCCCTGCCACTTTCCCCACTTCCACGGGGGAGCGGCACACCGCCGGCCGGCTCTCTCGGGGGCTGCTCAGATGTTATCCGGATGTTCCCCTTAGATGTTCCTGGTGCATGTTGTCTCTCTCCTCCTTTATAGTCCTCTTCCACCAATCCCAACTCTGCTACCCACACGCCGAGTACGCTGCTCTCCTCCAATCAGGAGCAGGATCAGCTCCTGCAGCTCATCAAATTGGCGAGAGGCAGCTGTGTAGAAGTTGTTTACTCCTCTCCCAGCGCCATATTGTGGGAGAGCAGATGCATAGAATAAGTCTTAATTCGAGTAACTTAGTCTAGTCTGAGTTGCTCCCCACAACATCCAGTATCAGAGTGCCTAAGATTGAATCCCACCTCTGCTTCTGATCCAACTGCCTGCTAGTGAGCCTGGGAGGCAGCAGATGATGGCATATGTAATTGGCCCCCTGAATTCCTGGTTCCTGGCTACAGCGTGGTCCAGCCCCAGATCCTACAGGCACTTGGGGGGTGAACTAGTAAATGGAGAATCTCTCCCTCTTTGTGTCTCTCCCTATCTCTATCTCTGTGTCACTCTGCCTTTCAAGTAAATAAACAAAATTTTAAAAATAAAATAAAAAATTTACTAAGAGAAACACCATAATGGTAATTGATTTTTTAACCTGTTTCAGTGAGTTTTTTAGTTAATTTTATTTAAGGTATACAAATGTCATGTATTTCCTATATATAGATTCAGAAACATATTGACACTTTCCACCCCACCTCCCTCCTGCCCATGCTCCTACTCTTCTCCATTCTTATTTTTTATCAAGATCTATTTTTTAAAATATTTTATTTATTTTTATTTGAAAGGCAGAGTTGCAGAGAGAGAGAGAGAGAGAGAGAAAGTCTTCCATCCATTCATTCACTCCCCAAATGGCTGGAGCTGGGTCAATCCAAAGCCAGGAACCAAGAGCTTCTTCCAGGTCTCCCATGTGGGTACAGGGGCCCAAGGACTTGGGCCATCTTCTATTGCTTCCCCGGGCCATAGCCGAGAGCTGGATGAGAAGTGGAGCATCCGGGACTCTAACTGGCACCCATATGAGATACTGGCTCAGCAGGTGGCTGCTTAACCTACTACACTACAGCACTAGCCCACAAAGATCTATTTTCAGTTAACTTTATACTCATAAGATTAACCTTAAACTAACTAAAGAGATCAACAAATAGTATGAGGAAAAAAAAAACTGTTCCTCAGCAGTAGAGATAAGGGCTGTGAACAATCATTGAATCTCAAAATGTCAATTTCACTCCTATACATTACCTTTTAGGTACCCTTCAGTTACCACAGATGATGGAAAACATATTTGTCTTTTGGAGACTGGTTTATTTCACTAAGTATAATGGTTTGCATTACATCCATTTTGTTGCAAAAGACAGGATTTCATTTGTTTTTATCGCTGAGTAGCATTCCATAGTGTATATATACCATAATTTCTTAATCCGGTCTTCAGTTGATGGACAAACCTAATTGTTTCTTTTCCTTTTTGCTTATTTTCAATCACCCTTTCCTTACCAGAAGTAGTTTTTCTAATAGCATCCTCATCTCCTATCCAAATCCCAAGTCCCAGTTATCATGGCATCCATTATACATACTCAGATCTTCCCTTCTGCCATTCTCTTACCATGCATCTGTCCAATAAACTCAGTGACTTCTTAGTATCCCCAAGAAGGGACTCACAGCCCTTGCTATCATCTCTGTTCAGAATCCCTTCTCCATTCCTCTACATGACTGGTATCTTCTGCTAATTGATTTACCTCCGCTCCAGAGCCACCACCCTGTAGGAAGCACCTGTCTCCCTAGGCAAGCACGAGCATTCTTTTCTTTACTCCTCTTGTCCTTAGATGTATCTCCACCATAGCTCCTTAACCTATTAGTAAACTTCCATGCACACTATTGCAAAAACTCTTAGTTTCCTATGTCTAGCTCCTTGCTATATTGTACTTTTCCATCACCAGCAATATCATTTGATCTCTGTGACTTCGGTATCTAGAATGGCACTCTGCATTTAGAAGATGCTCATCTCAGTGAGAATTCTTGCTTTGAGGCTACTAACGCCAACTATAGTTGAGTTATCCAGGAAATAAATATTAATAAAAATATTAGATAAGTGATAGAATTTAGGAGAAGAGAGGATAGAAAAGAAGCCTACGTCAGGATGAGGCGTCATTTCCTACCTCATTCCGCTGGACAGAGTCCTGTCACTGTCGGTGGTGGCACCTCCTGCTCGCACCTGTGTTGTTTGGGAGTCCCCGTGGGAATGTGGAGTCGCTGCATTCGACGTTAGCTTGCAACGCAAAGAGGAGGTCTGACCCCCGTTTCACCCTTGTCTTCACCCCGCCTGCCACGGAGGAGGCCCCTGACTGCTTCAGAACAACCCAAAAACTCCACAGCCCCTCAGCTATCGTCTGTGTGTCACCCCACAACTCTCATGTCGAATCCTCACCCCCGCCTCCTTCAGGGTGATGGAAATGGGAGGTGGGGCTCCTGGAAGCTGCTTAGGTGATGCAGGCTTATGCCCAGGGGAAGGAGACCCCCGGCTGGCCGGCTCAACCCCGACACAGCAAGCTACCCTATCTGCCAGGGCCTCCAAGCCACCTCGTCCGCTTCTCCCACACGGGGCTCCAGCTCCTCTGGGAGTCCACTGGGGCGACACCACGGCACCCAATTTACACGCATCCAGTGATGTGGTTTTAAGTGTGCAGAGCGGATATTTAGGCAAATAAAAGGAAAAAGAGCCCTGTGGGGAGGCGGCCCCTGGCCGGTAGCCCTTGTCTCCTCCAGACCACGAAGCTGCTGCACCCGACTCACGATGCAGAGGCAGCCGTGGCACAGCCGTCATGGCCGCCCCACTTTATAAAGGAGTCACTGGCCCAGGGCAGTTCTGAGAGCCAACTGGGCAAATGCTGCAAGTTTCATCTGGTTGTTCTATTAGTTTTGGAGAAATATTGTTAAAATACCCCATGTGATTACAGATTTATCTACCTTCCCTTTTATTTGTGTAAATATTTGCATCACATACTTTAAACCTCCATTATTAGGTGCCTATGAATTTGGTATTGTCATGTCTTCCTGGAAGACTCTTATTATTAAGAAACATCTTTTTTATTTCTTGTAATGCTTGTTGGTTTTAAGTTAAATTTGATACTATTATAGCTTCACTTGCTTTTCTTTGGTTAGTGATTGCAAGGTGTATCTTGTCTTATCTTTTCACTTTCAGGTCCTCTGTTTTGTTATATTTAAGGGTTGTATCTTGCAAGCATCATAGAACTGAACTCTGTAATTTTATTAAATCTGGTAATTTATCTTTAATTGATAAACATAAAAAAGAGGCCTAGAAAATGAGCAGGAACTAATAGATTTGGAGCAGCAAAAGCTCAGGAATTGTCTAGTTAACCTTGCTATCTCTGTGCCTCCACCCATGCAGGCATCACTACTGTGGACATTTGGTGCACCACCACTGAACTCTCAATTCTCTAAAATTAGTTTCAGTTTTTTGTTTTACTGCTTCAACATTCCAAATTCTGGATAGGAAAATAAGATCGCTAAGCCTAGTTTACAAACCTCTACTTTGATTTACAAGCAAGGGTGATGGAAGCACAAAAGAGAAATAAGATGTCACATCGCACAAGTCTGAACAACAGTTCACCAAAATAGGAAAAGAAATTATATATTATGCTACTAAA